TCACTCAAGTTACTTTTCGGTGAGTTGTGAACCGTTCTCATTTTCATCTCTCCTTTTTCACCGATAATTCATTATTCTCTCTCATACATAATCCGAAAATATCTCTCTTCAAAAACCAACGAAAATACTTTTTCATCACCCATTTGGCTCTGAAAACTACCAAGAGCGAAAAAAAATACCACTTCAAATTGTTCGGTTCCAACCCAATGTGATGTAAACAGTTGAAGCTTGGGAATTCGCCGTATTTTTTGTTGTTCTTCCGCTGATTAAATGGTTGACGGAGTGTGACGTCATACTGTGTTATCCAATTAAACAGCGGCAGAACGAAAGGGACAACGATTTCACATAGCCTCACCTGTTTGCATTTCATTGGTTTCAACCAGTCCGGCAGATTTTTTTTATTTCCTTTTTATATCTTCTGTCAAATCATAAGGGTCATCCATAAATGACGATGCAATTTTTATACCAATTTTAGACCTTCCCCTCCACCTTCGTGGCATTTTTTCTATACCTTATGCATGGTCCGTTACAAATGTTGAAACCCCCTCTCCATCACTCCTCAGATTCTACGTAATTTATGGATGTGTCCTAAACAGTGCTATAAAATTTCGACAATACACGGTGATACTCAAAATTCTGCTTTGGTCACTCGTTTGATCTAACAGTCATCGTCAAGGCAAACCATGTCAATTGTCAGTAACATTTTTGTCAGTGACGAACATGTGCTGATTTGTTTATTAGCTAAGTTTGAAATGAAATTAAATGGCTTGAGCAAAACAATTACATGGAGCCATTAAAGTGAATAAGCATCTACGTTCTGAACCGCTTGGATAACAATAATGTGTTTCAGAACGCAAGAAATTACACTTTCAGTTACCAGGTGAATCTTTGTCATTGACGAAAAAATGAATGAGATTTTGACAAAGATTTTTTTGAGGATCAAGTCTATCATTGACTATGTGAAACACAATTTTGTCAATATCGCGCAAAAGTCTGTCAATGACAATGACAAATCTCAGCACTGGTCCTAACTGTTGTTTTGGTTCATAATTTCGGATCATTGTTTGCGTACGGAAAGTGAATTTTCAGGTGTATGAAAGAAGTGAAAAATCATTATCGGCATCAAGAATTCACTGAAAAAAAAAATAACGATTTATCTGCCGCTCATGCTCTCCGAAAAAATAAATCGCTGTTGCTTTTCGCGCGAAAACTGCTGTGAGCATATAATATTCTCTCGCTCCTCACATACTCATCTATTTGTCCTAGCAGGTGAAAAATGACGTTTCTCTTCTCAAGTAGGCGAAAATTTCGATCTCTGTAAGATTCACTAAAAAAAATTTCTTTGGGATTGCTGTATAATAAAGTCAAAACAAAATAATAACGTCACGGCAATTCCACACAGCAAAAATCGCATTATGAACTTCCATATTTCCGTGTAAATGTCTGCCAATGAAAAATCATGTAAATTAACATGCGAAACGTGTCATTCTACATAATTTAACATGTATCCCTGCATGATGCACTCGATCACCATGTAAGTTTACATTACTTTCAGGTTAGCTTACATCACAATAAATGTAAATATACATTATTGAAACAGTTACATACCAAAAGCTGTAAAATTACGTCAATTACGTACCATGTAAGGTAACGTCGCATGTAATTTTCATTATTTTTTAGTGTGAGCCATATCATCAGGCAAGAAACGAGAACTTCAGGGCAGTCCACACAAATTGTAGAAACTATGTAGGAGTTCCGAGCATTGATAGAAAATACCAAGGATTCCGTAGAAGTTTCATCGATAGACTGTGGTTATTATCCCAGTCTCTTCAGGAAAGCTTCGTGATTTTCAAGGCGATTGCATCAGGTTCAGCTGTTCCAACTTTGGTTTGAAGGTTCTAAGAACTTCATGGATATCTTAAGACATTCTGCAAAGTCATAACAAACTTCTGAGAACCTGAAGAAAATCTTAAAGAACTTTAAATAAGTTCCAGAGGGAGACTTCAGGGAAGCTCAGAATCCTATCTATCCAGAGATCTCAACAAATTCAAGGAAACCCAGAATTTCTAGTAAGTTAAAATAATTGTTAAGGTAAGTTTCGATAAATTGAGGGCAGCTTTTGAAAGAAGTAAGAAAAAACCCGGAATTTCAGGGGACCCTAGGAAACTCTTGAGAAGTTTAAAAACTTCAGATATATTTTGAAAAATTTGCAGAAGTAAAGGGTGTCCCACATCAAATTGCATCACGGAAAAAATGCTGTAGAAAATTACCTAGTTGACAGATCCTTTTCAAAATTTCATTCAATGAAAAATAACCCTTTAGTATGCTTTTGGCATATTTATTTCATTCAACTTCAATATCATAACCGTAAGCTCACACCTTACGCTAAACTCCACTCATTCGGTTCTGTACAAAATCTGGCTGCAGCTTCTTCTGTACGTAAACCCACTTTTTCTTCATGTCTTCTTCAGATTTGACCTCCTTGGGATGCTTCCGTAGTGCCTGCTTCATAATGGCCCAGTATTTTTCGATGGGCCTTAGTTCCGGTGCGTTGGGGGGTTCATATCCTTGGGTATGAAAGTGACCTCGTTGGCTTCGTACCACTCCAGGACAACATTTGAATAGTGGCACGAAGCTAGATCCAGCCAGAAGATCGTAGGGCCCTCGTGTTGCTTCATCAGAGGAAGCCGACGTTTCTGTAGACACTCCTTGGGGTAGATCTCCCCGGTTACAGCCCCGGTAGTCACGAACAGAGTTTCGTAGTAACGTATAATCAAACGACTCACCGTTGACTGCACGATTCCGGGTTGTTTTCCGATGTCCGATGAGAGAGTTGAGGATGTTCCAGGTGCTGCGCAAAATCAATTCACGACGTTGCTTGGCGGGTGACGCCATTTTTTTCAACTTTCGAAAAACTGACAGTGATAAATATACAGTGTAAACAATACACTCTAAGCTACTTCCATCCAAATTTTCAAGAGAAAATACCCAATGTATTTGTTTAAATATTTAAGGACGGTTCTTTAATAGAACTTTAGACAGTAACAGTAAATTATGGAGAATTGCGGAAACTTCAGAGTAACTTCAAGATCATCAGAGAAGACCATAGAACCTCAGGGCACTTCAATTATTTTCAAGGAAATTTCTATTACAAAAATTCAGAGGATCGCAGGGAGTTTTCCGAAATCTTAAAAAAAAGCCTCAAGATCTTCAGATTCATTCAACTCATTTTTCAGGGGTGTTTTGAGTACTTCAAGGAAGATCAAAGAACTTCAGAGCAGTTCCATTAAATAATTAAGAAGCTCCGAAAAATTATGGAATGTTCCAAGAATTTCAGGAATGTTCCAAACAATTTCAGAAAAATGGTGAGGTCGGAGAAGGCCTTTGAAAAGTGTTCGGAAAAACTCAAAAACTCAAATATTATGCGTGCATTTATTTGCCTATGTGTTTTGCCTTGTAAAATTCAACAGCGCAAACAACACCAAAGAATTTTCAGGTTGAAAAAAATCATATTTTTAAATATTGGCATTAATTATTTTTAAAATACTATTGTTTTGGAATCACATAATGAAAAACTAACACAACCAAGGGGTAAGTCACTCAGCACATTGTGCCGAAATTAGATTTGACACAGCTTGGGCACATCCATCGGCACACTTTCGGCATACCTTGGGCACATCTTCCGCATTGGATTGTTGTAATTAAAATGTGAGCACTACTGGACAACTGTCATTCAAGTTGTACACATCATTACGTGCTGTTTGACTGTATATTCAGGAACATCCTCAAATTTAATACACCATAGGAACTCAGATCAGCAGTTCACTTATAAAAATTATCTAAATACGAAATTTAGGTTCAACCCTTAATTCAAATACTGCTGCAAATCACACAAAACAAAATAAATAAGTCCATTCATCATCCTCTATGGTAAGTCTTCAACAATGCTCCCCACCGGCTCCAACTCTTTCCGGCCGCTGATAGACCAATGCTTTTCACATCACGAAAGGCTAGGTTTCTGGTCTGCCTTTGAGGGCATTATAGAAGACTAAAACACAGGACTTTTATCATCCTATGAACATAAAACACCAACACCAGCCACTTCCCGCGTCATCCTCAATCCGATTTATCCTTGCGATTTCAAACCAAAACATTAAAGGTGTCAGAAATACCGGGTTGCCGGGATGGGTATTTTACAAACATTCGCAGCTTGTTCTGTGACCAGCACAATCGGCGCACCTGCGGCACACTGACAAAAAAGATGACCTAAGATTGGTGTGCGGAGTGACCTACCCCTTGAACACAACATACATTTGCATGCTATCAATAGATATTTGAGCGATTTTTATGAGTTTCAAGGTGAAATGATTTTTTGGCGTTGAGTGTGCATGAGAATCTGGACGTTCAATGAATAAGATTTGAGTATGATTTTACAAACACTGCGTATGAATATAAAACAATTGCTGGAACGTTAGACAACTTACGAATACTTCTTGAGTTTTTAAGGAACTTCGTGAAGGAACGAAAACTTCAGTCAGGTTTAGAGGAGTTCATAGAAAATTATAAATTTTAAGGGGATTTCAGTGAACTTCAAAGAAGTTTAAAAAACTTCAGTATAGATCAAAAATCTTCAAGGTAGCTCAGTTTAGTTCAGGAAAATTATGGAAACTTTTAAAAAGTTTTGAGAAGTTCAGGGAAGTCTATTTTAGTACAGTTCGGAGATCTTATTGTGCTGAACGAAATTACCGTTCTTTACTTTGAAAGTCGAAGTCCAATGACCGAAACTCGGTCATTAAGCATCGTAGATTATGGGCTCCCCTTAAATGGATTTGTGTTGTAAAAATGTGTGAGTTGCCAGCTCTAAATTCACTGATGAAATTTCACTTCCCTTCCATTTTTGGATCGCCATAGTTCAATATTTGCAATGAGTATTCATTTATTCTTATATGCTGTTATCGCTTACTCTTTCACATGCAGAAAACTATCACATCGGTGTGCTGCGTACACTGTTGCTTAGCTGGGACCTACTTAATCTAATTATTTCGACTAGAAATCTTCAGCGATATTCCCCCCTTCGGCAAAAGAGGTACCGACGCGGGACTGAACACGATTTTTGGACTTTGTGTTGCTTCGAAACTGAACTTCGACAGGAGCAGAATCAATCCAATCTTGGAAACGAGCACACCCATTCTAAATGCTGATGAGTAAAAACAAAATAAAAATCAAATTAAGTAATTTGTTACACAACTGCTCATCACCGAGTTTACCTATGCAATTCCTGGGACCTTCCCCGAAGGGATAGTATGCTTTCTCATCATAGGCTGCCGTACCTTCATCAAACCTCTCCGGGTAGTAGCGGTCCGGTTCGGGGAAATACTTCTCATCCATGCTGTACGCAAACAGTGGTATCACCACCTGAGTCCCCTTCCGAATCGTTACATCCAACTCAGGCACCTTGTAGTCCACCGTACATTCGCGGTTCAAAATCGGAAGACCCGGATACTTTCGAAGCGTTTCCTTCACGCACATATCCAGGTACTGCATCTGCTTTAAAACGTCATATGTAATTTCCCCATTGGATTTCGCAAGCGTTTCGTCAATTTCCGTCTGCAACTTCTTCATCACATCCGAGTTCTGGCTCAATTCGTGCAATGTGAAGGTGATTGTCCCGGTAGAGGTTTCCGATCCGGCCACATAAAACAGAAACACGTTTGCAGCACACTGTTCAATGCTCATTTTATCTTGGCTTTCATCGCGACGAAGGTTAATCAACTGCTGAATAAAATCCTTCCTCGAAACACCGCTCTTTTCCCTATGCTCGATCTGCTTGGTCACTATCCCCGTTACGAATTCAATCACTTCCGGTTCAAGGGATGAAATTCCAGTGAACTTTAGCAACTCAGGACACACGAATACGGCAGAGGCACGAAAATTTGCAGATATTCTCTCACGCTGCGCTTGTCGCAAAACTCTGCTGAAGGCATCGTTTCGGTCTTCAATGCAATTAGCTTCGAATCCGAAAAATACCGTTGCTATAATCTCCAGCACAAATCGAGAAACGATGTCACGAATTTCCAGTACTTCTTTCTTTTCAGCAGCCGGCTCCAGATGCTTCTGCAGTTTGCTACCGACATCCAAAATCGTTGGCATCATGCCACGCAGCTGTCCACCGGTGAACAGCGGTGAAAGTTTGTTCCTCAGATTACGCCACCGTTTACCGGGAAGAGCAAACAGATTCGCCGAAAACGGGTCCCCTTGCTCGTTGCAGTACACTCCACGGTCGTGAAAATGGTTGAAATCCGTCGTCATGATCTGCTGAGCTAGGTGCGCGTCACGAATCAGTATGGCCGGTCGGAAGAACAGATAGATTCCGACCAGTTGGCCCTTCGTCTGCCAGTACAGCTGGTTGATGGCGATGCCGAAGGATTCCTGCTTCCTGACCACTGTTTTCAAATTTCCGAACGGAATGTGTGGTTTAACATTCGCCAGTCCATGGCGATCCCAGTACGAGTAGAAGTACTTCAGGGCTAATGTGACCGCGAGCGCCAAGAGAGCGAACGTGTAAATGAAAAGCATTTTCGATGTACCGCTCAGCACGGGATCATGTGGAATCAAGAGCTACTGTAATGAACTGAAACGCGAGACAGGCAGATAATGAGTTTATATAAGCTCATTCCTGGCTGGATGCGCGATATTCGAAGAGTAAACAAACGATAAGACTAGGTAGATACGTCTGACTGTGCCGCCACGCAAATTTCGTGATTCCTTGATTAATCAACTCTCAGTGTAGTTGACCAATTCCAAACAATACATTTGTGTTAGTGACCATACATGAAACAATCAGCAGAAATTGCTTCGTCACATAGAGGCACATGAAAATACTGGTTGGCGATTTGTGATGTCTCTTATTTTTAATGAATACTAAGAAAGCGGTTAAGTGGCACCAACACCGTTGCGTGTAGAGCTTGGCATCCAGCATCGCGGTCTAATAGATTGAAAGATACACGGGTTCCTATGTTCTACAAAGCAGAGAAGGAGTGTAAAATTGTGCTTTCTCATGGATTGGAATATTCAAGAAAGTCGTTCCAGGTTGCTCAGTATTTTGATGGAATAACGAAACAACCTGTTTTTCTTTACCTAGATCGATTATTTGGATGGCTTAATTGCGTTAGCTTTACGGAGCCGATGTTTCAATGTTCATTGAAGCAACCTGTTTGATTTGCCATTGAATCATAATCAAAATCGAAGACATATTGGATTCAAACTGAATGTAGGGGCTTTGACAGCTATAGAATACCCCTGGTTCACTCTTAGTGAGCGCTAACTAATCATAAAAACGCTGATTGGGACTCTCTGAAAGCGAAATTTGCATATTTTATGTGTCAAACACATGCCAGACAACCTCTCCTTGTAACGTACAAGTACAAAATACCGATACAACATCTAATGATTAATAATTCCGAAAAACAAGCAACTCTGCTCTCATGCACGATCCTTGTGATGGCAGTTGCCTACGATAAGACTTAATAGACTCTTATCTTAAGCTAAAAAAAAAAATGAGAACAGCGAAAGGAAAAGATGATTGATTTTTTTTCAGGTGTTGACAAACATATGATTTGGTTGTTAAGTTTTGATAACGTTGTCAATAATTGGTTTTTGTTTAGTTTCTTTGAGGTATGGAAAAAGTTCACATTTTCTGTTAACGACAAATGATAATAAAACTTGTTCAAGATTTCTGAAATGGTTAACTATGCTTTTGTGTGTTGTTCGTTGTTAACTTAACAATTCAGTATGCCTGGCAGTTTATCCTACCGCAAAAAAGTGGAATTTTCTTCCAATCACGATTCGTTGTTTTCACACTCCGTTTATATCACTCTCAGTTTTATCACAAAGCATGGTTCGTGTATAGGGGAAATGGATGTAATGCAGGCCTAAATGCCCTTAATTTGGGCCCATACATAAATTCAGTTTTCGACTACATTTTCAATAGTGACCAAACATATTCATTAGTACCGTCCCAATGACGCGTTAATCTAGATAAAATTAATAAATAGCAGATTTTCAACGATGGACCCAATTTTAGATCCATAGGCCAACATTAGATCCATTTTCACGATCCATTACCACGATTTTCAGAATTGCATAAATAATTTTAAAACTTGCATTTAACATCGGTTTTTTAACCAAATATATAAATAAACAAACAATGCATTATAAAGCATCATTTGCGAATGTATACAATGCACAGTAAAGCACTTTCAAAATATCGGTTTCTACATAGAAATAGTTTGAAATATACATAATAAATCAAAGGACCAATTTTAATGATTCATTTGGTATGCCTCTGGGAAATGTATTCGCACTTCCGGAGTGATTTGAGATTTGGGCGTAATTGCATTTGTAAACAAACACGTCAATCACCGATTTCTCGCGAATAAAAGCTCAATCTCGAAAAGTAATAACACTATGAGGTAGAGGAATGATTCCTCTATCATTTGGTATAGTTTGTTTGTGAGATTGAGCTTTTATTGAAGAGAAATCAGTAATTGACGTGTTTGTTTTCAAAAGCAATTACGCCCAAATCTCAAATCACTCCGGACTTCTTCTTTTTATCGTGTAAATCAATTAAAAGCAGCACATTTTACGATTTTGATATATCTACCATACAAGTGATGGCATTTTTTTTTTATTTCACTTTGTATATTGTTAAACGTCCTTATGCTGGATGCTTAAGATTATGATTGGATTTTGTTGATAGCTGCCAATACTTATAGTTAGTTAACATTTGAGCAATTTTCGCTCAAGCTGGCCCACTACTTTTTCAAGGTTCTAAAAAATTAGATGTTTAATTAATATAAGTTTTTCAAATTCTTGCGTAAAATCTTAATGTTCACAGTCGAAAGGGAAACTTCAAGTCACGAATGACCTAAAATGTGTATAATTTATTGATATTAAAAACTTTCGAAGTTATTTCTAGTGCAGCATTTTGACTTTCAATTTTTAGCCTTAAATATATAATCGCCCTCCCAACAAACAATCGCTTCTTAACGATTTTATTCAACTGCATGCTTAATAATACTTGTACTATATTTAATAAATTTTTAAGTTTTAATTCTGTTCAGGCTTTGTTTACACAAATGTGGAAAAATTATTCAACCACCACATTGAACTACTTGGTGTTGAAAAATATGTGTCGAGAAGCTTTTATTTGACTTACACAAGTTGTAACAGAGCCTATAAGATCAAATTATTAAGTATTCAGTGATTATTATACATTATCGCTTCGTTCAACAGCGATGGTATAGGTGTATAGACGCTTAATTCTCACGGGAAATAATGTTTAATTAGAAACTTTTATAAACACAAAATTGAACTTTAATAATTTCCCTTATTTTGCTAAACGAAATTTAATGAACGCAATCAAAAAGCATCAAAACATTTTTGTTTATCAGAAAAGCATTTACCAACCAATAATTTCAATTCACTAAACATAACTTGACGACTTGACTTGACTTGACAGTCTACATACCAAATTATAAACAGATTCATTCCCAATCTGATGAAATAAAAATTGAAATAAAAAAGTTTATTAATGACTAAATAATAGAATCATCACCTTTCAATTCTCTGATTCGTCTAGTTCCAAAAAAAAATCGGATGACAATATAAAAAAATTAAAACTAGTAGTCAATTTCAAGTAATTCATAAAAAAATACTGGCAGCAAACTCCCTGCCCGTATTGATACAATTCTAGACCAGCTAGGAAGAGCAAGATATTTTAGTTCTCTTGACTTTGCTTCTGCTTCTTCTTCTTCTTGTTTTCCTAAATCATCACATTCAAAATGTATTGGAAAAAAATATTGGTAGCATGTGTCGCCGTGCCAAAATCGTCCATGCTTCATAAATACCAAGTGGTATGGTGAGAAACACAACAGCAAATGTGACGTCACACTGTCTAGTTCACAAGAATTTCGTAGACAAAAAAATCACATTACCAGACCACGCTGTAAGATATTCCATCTCCCCTGTTTGTGTTTAATTTAATAATGTGCATTCATTTTAGTTGGAACGGTCGTGTGCCAAAAGAAGTCCTTTTTGTTTTATTTATTTATTTTCTGATAATTGTTTACCAGTGCATACATCCACTTTTCAAAGTTAATAAGTAAAACTTTATATATAAAGGGTGTCCACGATGAAATTGCCAAACACAAAATTGATTCGCAAAATTCGAGTTTTCATCCGATAGCCATCAAATTTTCAGGGATCGAGAAATAACTATTAAACCTCATTTTACCATTTAACTCGTATTTTATTTACAGTCCATACGCAAATGCCCGCACCTTGGCCTTAACCCCGGCCATAAGATTCTGCACAACCTGTGAATCAACCGTTTTTTGCATGTAAACCCATACCTTCTTCAGTTCCTCGACTGTCTTCACTACCTTAGGTCGTTTAAGAAGGTGCTGCTTCATAATCGCCCAGTACTTCTCGATGGGGCGGAGCTCCGGAGTGTTGGGAGGGTTGAACATTTTCGGCACGAAATTGACCTTATTGTCCGCATACCACTTCAGCACGTCCTTGGAGTAGTGGCATGAGGCCAAATCCGGCCAGAAGATTGTTGGGACGTTGTGGGCCTTCAGGAAAGGAAGCAGCCGCTTCTGGAGGCACTCTTTTATGTACACCTGTCCGTTCATCGTGTCCTGGGTCACGAAAGGTGCACTCCGCTTCCCGCACGTGCAGATGGCTTGCCAAACCAGGAATTTCTTCGCAAATTTGGACATCTTCTGAGTGCGGACATGCTCCGGAACGCTGAACTTATCCTTGGCCGTGAAAAACAGGTTGCCGGGGATCTGTTTGAAGTCGGCCTTCACATATGTTTCGTCGTCCATGATGCAGCATTCAACTTTCGTCAGCATGTTGAGGTACAACTTCCTGGCACGGGTTTTGGCGGACTTGTTCTGCTTCTCGTCGCGATTAGGGGCCTTTTGTACCTTGAACGTTCGAAGTCCAGCCTTAGTTTTGGCCTTCTGGACAAAACTTCGGCTTAGGTGCAGCTTCTTAGCCACATCCCTAACGGAGGCGTTCGGATTTCGGTTGAAGGCCCCAACTACGCGGTTGTGATTTTTGGTGTTGTACGGAATACTTTTTCCTTCACTTCTGGGCTTCCGATCGGTGGTCAACCGTTCCTCGAACCGCTTAATCACTCGCGACACCGTGGAATTCGCGATTCCCAACGTTTTAGCGATCCTTGTTCTCGTGATGAATGCGCAAGATTTTATCACGCATGAGCTGTTCTTTCGACTCCATTTCCGCGAGTTTTGATCACAGGACTTTAAAACTTGCAGGATGTAAATAATGCACTATGAACTAAATCCACCCAAATTTTCATTAAATTCTACCCAACGGTTAAAAAGTTAGAGCAATTTCATAGCGTGGCAATTTCATCGTGGACACCCTTTACTTGTTTTAGTAAACTTAAATTCATTGCTAAAGGCATTACATCTGGCAACGCATGTTCAATGATATTTTTGCGTTAGCTAGCAAAGTAGTGGAGTCAAAGTGTATTTCTTTGTATTGTATTCCGTTCACCTATAGGATTGAAAAGCAGGG